ACACTTTTATATTTTATTGTAAAGAATTTCCAACCACTTAAGTGTCACCTTAAAGGTTAAAATCAACATACACAGATTGGAATTCTTGTAGTTTAATTGTATTTTTGACTATCTGGTTTAGATATTAGATTCTTCATATGATATCACGTGTTCAATTAAAACAAACCATCAGATAATAATATCAGTAGTGACCAAAATGAAACACAAGTGCAACTTTGCTTTCATATTAATATTGGCATATTAAATCAACAAGTCAATGAATTTCTATTGCTTCAGTGGTTCCAGATTATCTCACAGTCTGTGTTAATAGTCATGTGCTTGCTTTTGGCAACTGTACAACAGATGCAATCCTAGCATTATCACTAGCCTCAGTTACTTCCACTTCACTTACCATACCTAAGACCATTCTAACATAAAGCTGGATAGTTGACTGTCCATAATTACAAATCAACACTGGGACCTCGTCCCTCGTTTGACAGATAACTGTCCAAGCTAATTCTGCCTGCTTTCTGAACAGGAAATAGCTCATTTAATGTTTGTTTGTTATGAATTTTGCACAAAGCTACACGAGGGCTATCTGCGCTAGCCATCCCTAATTTAGCAATGCAAGACTAGAGGGAATGCAGCTAGTAATCTCCACCCAAAGCCAACTCTTAGGCTACTCTTTTACCAAAGAATAATGAGATTGACCGTCCCATTATAACGCCCCCATGGCTGAAAGGGCGAGCATGTTTGGTGTGACATGGATTCGAACCTACGACCCACAGATTTCGAGTCGAGCACCCTAATCACTTGGCCATGCCGGGCCCTCATTTAATGGTGGCTTTTATAACTATATTACACAGTATTAATGCACTAGATTTCATCTGTAGTAAATAACAGAATATCACTTGTGTATACAGAGGTACTATTATTCCCTCTGCTACATACACTCATGCAGTCAATATTTCTGGGCTCATTTTGTCTAACATTGCATAACTCTCCCATGGAACTTCGGTTCACCAGTTGCACAAGTAAAACGGATGGATAATGTCCACAGTACATCCATTCATAGAATGCCAAATGCTAGATCTGAGATACGAGATAAGTATCTACTTTTTGCGAGTAACATTTTATGTACACAGTCAGTGATATGTATGTTCATTTATGTCTCATTTACCGCCGTTTGCCACAGTGAAATCCATACAGTTCTGAGAGAGTTGGGTTGACTATGAAACCCTTTGGTGCAAGCTGTCTGCTGTTCTTCTCATGCTCCATTAGTTTTCTGGTGTTGTTGTGGTAGCATTTACCACTTGGTTTTGGTTCTTCTGGACCTGTTGAGCCGCCAGTTAAAAATGATAGCCTTTGCTTACTTTGCTACTCAGGAAAGTACATGTACTGCTGGTACTCTAACACCTGCTGAGTCATCAACTGTAGCCAATGGCCTTGATGCCTTTGCTGTTTGGCAAAATATGAGCACTTCATTTATCAATTCTCCCCTACCACAAGCAAAGCAGATGCTTTGCCCCCCCC